CCTCCGTGCTACAGCTCAACCCCTATTGAGCCTTTCCTCTCTCCCCTCTACCTAAACAGGTTCCACAGGTAACTGGAGATTTGCCATTTTCACACCAAGAATATGCTTTTTGTCACTGGAGATTCTTCAAATTTTTTAAAGAATCTGTTTTCACTCAACAAACTGCAACAAAAAACTTCTGAGCTGTGGCTGCCGCCTTTCTCCACTTGAGTTGATGCTCCAGCTTGCTGCGAGCAGAAAAAAGTTATCCCCTGGGCTCACGGAAACGTTAGTGCCTTTAAAAGAGTCACCAAGACCTCTCAGCGTGAGAAGCACCAGATGCAGACACAGGGACAGCTGCCAGTCTCCAAAGTTGACATAGCAGCTACAAAGCCTACATTTGCTCGTAACAGTTGCCACACGTCCAAAACAATGCTTCCCCCACGCAGAAATACACAGCTGTGCCCAATTTTTCCCTGGACAGGGCAGAGAAGGAACGGTGCGGGGTGGCTGCAGCCCCACAACACCCACCATGGAGAAACTTCCCAGGGTGCCCAGAGAAGCTGTGGATGCCCCATCCCTGGAGAGGTTCAAGGCCAGGCTGGATGAGGCTTTGAGCAACCTGGGCTAGTGGGAGGTGTCCCTGCCCATGGCAGGGGGTGGAACTCACTGATCTTCAAGGTCCCTTCCAACCCAGACCAGTGCAGGATCCTACGATTCTAGGAAATGGGCTGATTTTTCACGTGCCCCAGCATGGCACATCCTTCAACTGCACTTGGAGGAGCACAGTCTCAGCGTTCCCAAGCAGTGGTGGGGGGCTCTGGGCAGCACTGTCCCTGACCGGGGGCTCCTGCTGCCCCCAGCCCGGCACAGCACCTGGGGACCAGGGACGGTCCCACCCGATAGGCAGAGATACCCCCCGCCCGCTCAGCCACTATCTAATATTTATGGAAATATGTTTGTGCTGCATTGGAAATTCCTGGGCTCTGCCCTTGCTCGCCCTCTGTTTCTGTCAAATACGTTCTGCCAAATCCCTTCTGAAATCTCATTTATTCCCAGCAGCTCCTTAACCCAGCGGGCACCCCACCTCACCAGCCATCACCGCTGATTCTCACCGGTTCTCTGCCCCCTCCCCTGCTTTGTCCCACAGCCCCATGGCCCCCAGGTCCCCACCCCAGGGTGTCCCAGCTCCCAGGTCTCCCTGCAGACCCGCGGAGGGCTCAGCAGCCGCTTGGCCACACCGTAACGCTGCTAGAATGTTCACAGTGGGAAAAGTCATCCTCTTTCCAAGGAAAACATATTTTCTCCTTTTTGATTATTCTTTCCTAAATATTCCCATTTCTGAATGAAAATCACATCTCTTTTCCTTCCCTCCTGCCATTCCTCCTCTTTCCTTCCTCTTTTCCCATAGCAAAAGAGAGGACAGTAGGAAAAAACCAAAAAATCCACTGTATTAGGAATTTGTTGTTTGTTTGTTCCTTATCACCAACACAAAAAATGACATGCCTGCCCCAAAGGAGCCAGCCCTGCCTCCTCCCCAGCCTCCCCGCACCTCGCTCCATCGGTCTTCCGAACATCACATCTTCTGCCACCTCTTTGCCCACTCTTGTCCCCCATCCCTGCCTCTCTCCTCTCCAGCTCCCTGCATCCCGCCTTCAGTGTTCAAAAACTCCCTTGACATCTAAAAACTGATGGGGAAAACAAAAAAATAAGGAAATAGAGCAACAGAACCAGTAGTGTAGAGCCACGTTATGGGAATGTAGAGCCGGTCCATGGGGCAGAGTGAAGCGTGCAGAGGCCAGTGGCATGGAGGATGCTCCGGATGTGACTATACTGATGGGATAAGGAAACACAGAGGTGACAGTGGCTTTGGCTTTTCCCCATCAGGATACAAGCCCTTTGCTCAAACGAGGGTCTCCAGCTCCTGACACCCCACGGCGGGGCTGGAGCCAGGAGCAGGGCTGGCACACAGCAAATCCACTATCACACTCCAGCTCATATCCTGCCATTGGAATTTCTGAGCTGATTTAAACCCCCTCTGAGTTGGTGTTCACCCGCACCGTGGGGGCAGCAGCCCCCTCCCTTGCAGAGGCACTGGGAGGTTTAATTCAATCCAAGGATAATGTTGGGACACCCCAGGACAGAGACACACTGAAGGGGACAGCAGCCTGCACCAGGATTTTCCTTATTCACTTCTGAGCTGCAGAGGAAAATGCCAGTCCTGTAGCTCTCAGTGAGCCCTGGCTCTGGTATTTCAGCCGCATTCATGAGGATGCCTTAAAAAAATCCTGAAGCTCAAGTTGCTTCTTTAAAGGAGAAGTCTAAGCAGTGTCTAAACATTTTACCTGCAATTGTTTGTCATCTGTCACTATATTCAAACCAAAAGCCACGGCAGCCAAGGCAGGAAACAGCTGCATATGCACAAACCGGTGAACTGCAGCAAAGAGCCACAGCAAGGAGAGAGGCTCCAGCTCCAGCATTTGCATGGGCAACGTGGGTCCTGCAACAAAGCCAAACCCTCTGCACGCCTCCTCTGCAGGCTCAGCCAGGACTTGCTCCTGGACTGGCTTCCCACTGCTCCCCGTACAGCAATAAATCCCCTCTTTTTGGAAGTGTCAGCAAACAAGTCCCTTTCTTGATCTGGAGGCTTCTCCCTGCAAACACCCACCTGCAGGTGGCTGACTTTTGGGCAGGGTTGTAGCACATCGCGCACGCTGTGTTGTCATGATGCCCAACACACGGCTGGCTTCACGGGGCTGCCACCGACATATTAGAATCACAGAACGGTTTGGGTTGGAAGGGACCTTAAAGCCCATCCAGTGCCACCCCCTGCCATGGGCAGGGACACCTCCCACTAGCCCAGGTTGCCCAAAGCCTCATCCAGCCTGGCCTTGAACCCCTCCAGGGATGGGGCATCCACAGCTTCTCTGGGCAACCTGGGCCACTGCCTCACCCCCCGCACAGGAAAACATTTCTTCCTCACATCTCATCTCCATCTCCCCTCTTCCAATTTAAAACCGTTCCCCCCCATCCTACTGCTACACTCCCTGGTATTTCCCACAGGAGTTTAAAAATCTGCCCTGTCTCTGGGATGTCAGTGTGCTCTCTCCCATGAACACTAGCAGGGGTTACACGTGCTATGGGATGAACGCTGCCACCACAGGATGGTGCTGGAGTCAGGGGAGACTCCATCAGGGCATCCAAAAAAAAAAAAAAAAAAAAAAAAGAGGCTCAAAGGTTTTGCCTTTCAGTGGGAGAAGTCTGACGGCATGGAAAAAAAGGCTTTGAGAAGAGGGTATGGCAGGATTTAATTTTGACCTGAAATCGCATCCCAGTTCACTCCCTGATCTGCTTCCTTTGCTGCTGGGACCTCTGAAGACGTATTACAGCTCCAAGGGCTTCTGCTCAAAACTAAATTATTTCAATTCACTATCAGCTGGAAAATTCCGGGTTCACTGGACTTTTTATTTTTGTAGTAAGGGGCAAACAAATCTTAATCTCTCTATTCTATGTTTACAGCCCACTAAGCCCCTCTCTTATCTTCTCTGGCTCAGGCCTGATTTATTGTCACGATGCTGCATTTGTAAAACAGTACCATAAAGTAAGAACGAGAACATTTCCCAAGGACTACTCCAAAATAAATTATTTCAGACTTACAGAAGCTGCTTAATAAATCCCCCTATTCTTGTTTCTTTAGGTATTTTAGAAAATGATTTATAAGTGCAATATCACCTCTCAAAAATGAGACAATCAACACAGGACAAAATTATCGTGTTATGAAAATAGGGGTCAGGCAAAAGGGCTGTGCTTTAAATTAAACCAGGGAAAAATATTTCATCTGAAACTGACTCTTTTTGTCTCAGAAATGAATGTTTTAATCACCTAAGAACGTAAAAGCTAATGCAGAGACCTAAGTAATATTTAATTTCATAGAAACATGCCTGTGTTCAATATTGATGGGCAGAACATGATATTGTTTCTGAAACACACTAACAATGAAACTTGGAGACGCATCAAGACTTTTGAAAGCCTTGGGATCTTCCTAGACTAAGAGATAATATCCCATTTAAATATTTAAATACCACCAGCTTTCAGACTGTTATCTGTTCCCGCAATCGACACCGACCGCTCGCCAGCTAGCGCAGCGGCAGGCTCGCAGACATGCTATTTAAGTAAAATTAACTCTGTTTGATATTGATGCCTTCCAACGGCATCCATGAAAATCAATGACCTTCGAGAGAAAAAACATAGAAAACCAACCACAGGGCTCAATCCACTAAAGAGGAAAATATTAATAAACAGCAACAGTATTAATGCAATACCACTGCCACAATCATGTCGCAACCTTCCCTTGGTGCTGCTGACACAGAAGCATCGTAAGGTCTAATTAGCCCTGAAGTTTCTTCCCAGAGCTGCACTTCATTATCCCTGCCTTAGTTATCCCCACGGAAGAGTCATTCGAAACTCCGACAGGTATCCCCTTGCCGCGGCGTGCGCCAGGAGGCGGTTTGAGTGTGCACATGCAGGGGGGATCTTGTTCCCCTGGCAATCAATAGGGCAGCTCTCCCTCCACGGATCACCCGCGCTCCCCCTGCCCATGCCACCAGGGCCACCCTGGCAGCAGGACAGCGGGGACGGGCTGGGGGCTTTCCCCAGCAGGAGAAAGGACGCAGGGCGTTGGGGCACTGAACCGGGGGCTGTGGCTGGTTGGAGCACGTGCACTGTGCTGGGTTCAGCGAGGATACTCTGTACCCAGGGGAAAACAACCTCTCCCCTGGCTCTCAAGTGGTTCCTGAGCTCAGGAAGACACCAAACTGGAAACATAAAATTGCCACCACGAGCGTGGCCATGCTATGACAGTGACATCTGCCACCGCACCCCAACCGTGGCAGCTGCACCACCAGCTCCTCCCAGCCCCAGAGCAAACATCTCATCGTTCCCGTCCTTCTGCCTTCGGTCTGAACTCACAACGCAACATCCCGAGCGGCTTTAACCAAGAGTAAGAGGGGAAAGTCACCAACCGTGGGTAGCTGGCTGGAGAGGAGATGCCCGTCCTGACTCAACATGTTGGAGACCATGATGGCCGGCAGGTCCATGTTCTGGTAGGGGTAGGCTGGGATCAGGCTGTTCGGAGGGAGGCTGTGGCACAGGGAGTGATATCCAGCTTCGTGGTCCACCAAGTGCAGGAGGGAAGGGTCGGGGAGATTCGGAGGCGTTATGGGAGGGATCTCATAGTCTTCGTTATTCTCATTCTGACCGTTATACGTCTAAAACGTAAAAAAGACATTTTGCAATGCATCACTGCCTTGTTGCTTCGGAAAAGAAAAGCGATTATTTGTTTGAGAAATATAAAAGGACATGCTAGGGGGAATGGTTTTGTTTTAATAAAAAAAGACATCTCCAGCCCCGGACACCAGCAGGTTGTAACTAGGTGAGAACCAGGCAGGGAGTGTGGCAGCACTTCCCCATCCAGCAGGGACACCCCGTGTCCTCGCACCCCTCCGGTCTGCCCAGGGCACCCGCACCGCTCCCCTCTCCCACGCTGCACCCTCCAGCACACCTTCAGCTCCCCAAAACCCCCGCAGAGGCTCCCCCGCGGGCGGCGCAGCGGGCGAGTGATGCTCGCAGAGCCACAGCCGTGATGGAGCGCGGCCCTTTGCCAACCAGCTGCTGCATTTTCAAGGCAAAGTCCCTCTCTGGGCACCCTGCTCAGCTCTCACAGTTTGTATTTTCAAGAGTGTTTAGGAGAATTAGCTTCGTGGAATTAACTAGTGCTTGGGAACAAAATTCCCGTTGATTCCGCACAAACTCCAGCACAGAAGCTACAAGCAGGGGGAGAGATTTGCAAACACAGCCAGCACATGGGGTTTAAATCCTTTAAAGCAAGCCGGCATGACTCCACACCACACAGGGAGATCTGTCCTTCCCTATACCCTCATCCACATTGTGTTTGGCCCAGCACCCCCCCATCTCCCCCCAACGCTCCCTCGAGGCGACCGCGAACGTGCAGACGTTGGTGCTCCTGGTGTCCCCGGTGTTTTCTGGTGGCTTGTTTTCTTCTAAGTGTTCCAATTTATATGGAGAAAGAATATGTTCTAGCACCTGTGCAATCGTTCTCACTTCAGACAAAACCATATTTGCTTTGTAATGTAAGTGTGAATCTATCTAAAATTATTAATTATCAAAGCAGAACATTACGAGTCTCTGGCAGAGGAGGCTCATTCTAAACATCTCCTGTTTCACATGTTATTACAGCATATGAAATTCTGATTAGCCATAGTATTATACACATGGATTTTAAGCTAAATTTCCCAGATCACCTAGTTTCACGGTTGGATTTTGACTTAATACTTGATTTAAAAGCAAAACCCCAGATGTGGGCAAAACCAGTTAAGCACTGTAGGCTTTATTAATCCATTGCCCCAGAGCTCACACGTGGATTCGTGCTCTTCATCACCCCACACTGCAGGGGGAAAACCCTTCATAAAATAAAATAAAACCTGTATTTATAAAATAAAATAAAACCTGTGTTTAACCAGAGTACAGAAGTCGGCGGGAGAGGCGGCGGGGAGGCAGGAGGATGTGTGGAGGGGTGGAAGGGCTCCCGGCGGGAGGGCTCCGGCTCTGCCCGGGAGGGACATGTCCCCACGGGGTGTCACAGCAGGGGGTCGCTCCTGCCTCCCCCCAAAACCAGGCTGGAGGCGGCTCATCTTCTGCTAAGCTGGCCCCCCACCTCTTGCTGCCCCTCAGCCCATTGCAAAAAAGAGAGAGAAAAGAGCAGGTTCTGCACATCCCACCCAACCCTGTGCCCGAGATGGCAGGGGGTGGAACTAGGGGATCTTTAAGGTCCCTTCCAACCCAAACCACTCTGTGAGTCTATTCCCGCTGGCTGCGGGGAAATATGAGCACACACGAAATCCAAGCCGGAGCCTGGGCTGAGCTAGCTCCGTGCCAGCAGTTATTGTTCAGGGGAAATTCAAGCCCAGCTATTTTTCCAGCCAGCTTCTGTCTAGCAGCGGTGTTAAACGGGGAAGGCAAGGGGCTGCGAGGATGCACACAAGAGCAGACAGACAGATCCCATTTAATACATCTGGTAGTTAGGTTTGCGCCTGGGCTACGCCCCTCGAGGTACGGCCGATTCTTCCCCAGTTATTTAAGAGGATTTCACTCCATGCTCTACGGAAAGGGATTTAAATAAATCATCGCGCAGCAACCTTGTTCCTGCAACTGGTTTATTTTGGTATCAGGTATATAAGCGAGTGGCTTTGCTGTACTTAACTAAATTATGTAAAACCCACTCAAAGTTTCCTAAAGCTCTCTTTAAAACTACAAGTTCCTTGTGGTGCTGCAGAGCAGCTCACCGAAGGGCTTTGAGGTGGTTTTGGAAGGAAAAAGTCCCGCTCACCCCCCTGCACGTTGGAAAAAAAAAAAAAAAGAAAAAAAACCAAACAAAAAAAGACCTGTTGAAATGACAAAGCTTTCCGAATAGCTCCGGTATTGTGCAGACATATCAAAATGACAATCAAAGCTGTTCACAATCAAAATCAGATTAGACAATATCCAATCAACATAATCAGGCTCGGCGCCTGCCAGCTTTCACACCCTATCGCTACCAACAGTTTTCCAAAGCAAGCCGCGTTTATTCTATATGTGTTTTAAAAAGATCGCTAGAAAGATAAGGAAGGGGGATGAGACAGAGAGACACTCAGAAGGGTGGGAAAGGGGGTGATTTATTGTCACACGCTTGTGCTGATTGACATGTTGGAGGTGACGTCTCCATCCCCAAAAAGGGGGGTCTTACGCCCTGTGCACAGAAGCTGTCGTCTCAAACCAGTGACACCCAACACCCCCTTCTGCCACCGTGTGGGCTACGCTCCAGATTATATTTTCTATTCTTATGTTAATTTGAATTAAATTAAACAGCCAATTATCCGTTATAAGGATACATTACAAATTAGATCAGCGAGCTGCTCTGAACCCATCCATCCCACCAGGACTCCGAATGCGGGGGCAGAGACGCTCGCGCTGCCGAAAGGCTGCCCGTTATGGTACACAAAAAAGATCTGGGATTTTCCACCGTCAAACAGATGATGGTTGTTGTGATTGCACATTATTCCTCTTCAAATTAAAACACTGAAATCAGCTGAAACAACAAACCTCCTCTTGCAAACCCTCTCCCGGCTCGCACCGCAGGGCGGATGGGTGCTGGGGTGTCAGACCCCTGCTTCTGCCCGCAGCGGGATGGGGCAACAGGATGGAGCCAAGCACCCTCTGAGAGGGGACAGAGCCTTCTCTCTGCCCCCCCCTTGCCCTCAGACCCCTGTGCATCCCTACACCCCGGCTATAGGGGCTGTCCTGCAGGGACAGGCACGGGGCACGGACCGGGCTGCCCTGAGCACGGCACCGGGGCTGTGCCCTGTGCTTGCACAGCGATGCCACATGATGCACCATTGCAGCAGGTACAACCAACCTCTGACAGCAGCAAAATCGTATTTAAAACCTATTTTTCCTTCTTGAAATCCAAGTTTGAACAGGGGTCCCTGGACCATCTCCTACAGACTCGGGGCAGAGGACAGAGAGGTGGAGGGGAGGTGGCATGGGGACATGAAGAGATGCATCCATCCAGCTGTGCTCATGCCACGCAGCTCCTCCACCGCCCTCTCCTCATGTCTGGCTGGGCAACAGCTCCCTAGATCTGTGCCTTCAGCACCAGGAGGTGTGGAAGGGTCTGTAACAGGGAGAAAGACTCTAGTTCCCAGCAAGGTGACACCCAGGCCACATCCAGGACCAGAAGGAGCCAGGACAGGTAACCACATTACCACTGCTCCCTCCCAGCTCACAAGCACAGGGCTGGGGACATGCTATTTGCCTTCCATTGTTTGCTGAACCCCTGGCAAGAGCACGGGGTGCCTTGCACAGCGACTCGGGGACGATAAGCCACGATCGCCCAGGCTTCCCGCCCTGCCTGATGCAGGGATGGGAATGGAGACACCCATTCCCAGCTCTCACTTCGATCTACTCCAAGCATCGGGCCAGGTTTCCACTCCTTTAGCTCAGGTACACTGAGCCCAGACACTCCTCTGCCTTGCAGCACGCAGAGCCCAGCGCAGGAGAGGCTCTCAGGCAGGAGGTGGCTTTGGGGACTGTCCAGTCAATGGCACGCGGCTCATCTCTGCTGCAAACCCGGAGCCCATCCATGGGTTATCGACATGCCCTGGGTGTCCCTCACCTCTGCACTGCGATGGGCATGGCGACCCTGTGCGCTCTCTGCTACTGGACTCAAAACCACGCTCAGCGGTGCTGCTGCTTCATCTTCTGCCCCCATGCTGTACCTCCTCTTGAGCTGCAAATAGAGCCGAGCTCTGGCAAGCTCCCACTGGCCACCCAGTAACGAAACCACCCTGGCTAGCTGTAGGGCCGAGCCCAGGGGAGCGTTCCCAGCAACCACAGCGAAGGGAAGGCTGGTTTGGATCAATCCACCCATCCCTGGCTCCACAAGTCCAGCTGATCCGAGACCAAGGGATGTGCAGCCACCCTAATGCAGTGCAGCCCTTGAGGGACCAGCTGTGATTCAGCCCGAGCCATACCACAGCCATGCTTTAAAAGAAACTTCGAATTCACCACGCAGGTGACTCAGGAGGGAGCTACACGTGTTGAGCATGTCTACAAACTCAGCCTTTAGCTTTCTCCTGCCTTTCCCCTCTTGGGAGGGGAGGAAAGTGCTGTCCTTTACAAAACACTCCACAGCCAGCCAGCACCATCTCTCCCCTGAGCGTTGGTATCAATCACAGAGGACAGACTTGACCAAGGAGCTGGGAAACCATTCTCCTCGGCAGCATGGCAAAGTCCAGTGACTCCAGTTCACCACTGACTCATGTCGTGATCCATGAGGATCCAGGAGGTGCAGCCAAGCATTGATTCAGAGAAATATTATTCACAGGGAGAAGGACAGACATTTGCAGCATTATTGCAGGTAAATATTTGCCCTGCCAAATAACATCCAACAGTAAATATGAGCCTAAGAGAGAACATTCATTCTCGGTAAGGCACAAGGAAATACTCAGGACTAGCGTGATCCATCCCACCCTCATCATCCAGATGACACAAACCACCACGGACTCTGAACCATGCCTCATCTACTAACTAGGTTTTTCCAGCAAGAGCTTACTGCCATAGCAACTTGACTCTCCAGACATGTCCGAGGTGAGACGGGTCTAAGCAGACCAAAGCCAGCCTGGCAAGTCTGCAAAGGGAGGAAAGCATCGCT